AGTAGTAATGCTAATACCTCAAAATAAATTAATTATTATTGTGAAATCGGATATGGTTCAGCCAATAATAAATCGGATTCATTTACCGTTGGCATTGTTATAAAAACAATAGTTCAACCACCGTGCGAATATCGAATATCCAGTACTGAAAGCCTGATGCAAATTCGGAAAACCCTATTATAATCTGCATTGCACACCACTGGACGCTCTTTTCATTCGATGCCTTTTGTTAGCGGATTCAATTAAGTTTACAACGGCGTCGAGGTCAGTAAATAAAAACCGAAGCCTCCAAAAATTGGCACGTAAGTAAATCAAATTCAATAAAGTGCATCACAATGGGAGGGCCAGCGCGAAATGACGATTCGACGCGTCCGGCGCGCCAATCAGAGTACCTACCATGAGTTTACGTTAGGTGTGCTCGCTAGCGAGTACGTCAATAATCTCTATGAAGATTTTGTTTCTTGAAAGTAGCCACTAGGGGCGCTGCACAATATGTCATACAATTAATGTCATTTTTTTACGCAGTCGCTAGCGAGCACACCTAACGTAAACTCATGGTAAGCGCACAGTTCGGGGACTTGTTAACTTTACACCTTTAGAGTAGGCGCACACCGTTGATTTTTCGTCGGCCGATAGTTTAGTCGGGCAGTTGATCAGTATGGGCATGTATGGGAGTGCGCACATTACGCCGATTCGATTTGGCCGATTCTTCATACAATTTGAAATCGGGCACAACTATCGGCCAACTAAAAATCAACGGTGTGCGCCTACTCTTATACTGCTTCGGACACGTGGTAATTCAGTCGACCAAAACCTCTTACTCAAAATTATGGCACTGCATGTATTGGAGGGGTTAATTATAAGGTTTTAATTTACATCTCTTGACCGAAATAAATGCCTAAGATTTCAAGATTTGTAGATACGAAGTAGAGGTACTTAGACATCTATACTAATATTATAAACTAGCGGCCGCCCGCGACTTCGTACGCGTGGATCCCGTTTTACCCCCTTCGTCTATCTTACGCGGTTTAGATTTTTTCATACAAATGTTTTTTCCCGCTAACTCCCGTTCCCGTTGGAATTTCGCAATATCCTGTTGTAACTAAGCTTTAAGTTTACTAAGAGACTTGCATGTCAAATTTCAAGCGTCTAACTTAAGCGGTTTAGATTTTTCATACAAAAGGATTTTCCCGGTAATTCCTGTTCCTGTGAGAATTTCGGGAATTCCTTTCTTAGTGCACCTCTACGGTACCTAAGCTACGTCCCTTATAAATTTCAAGTGCCTACGTTTAGCCGTTTAGGCTGTGCGTGGGTATGTCAGTGAGTCAGTCATACAAAAGGAATTTCCCGCTAATTCCAGTTCCCGTGGGAATTTTGCAATATCCTGTTGCAACTAAGCTTTACGTTTACTAAGGTACCTGCATGCCAAATTTTAAGCGTCTAACTTACGCGGTTTAGATTTTTTCATACAAATGTTTTTTCCCGCTAACTCCCGTTCCCGTGAGAATTTTGCAATATCCTGTTGTAACTAAGCTTTAAATTTACTAAGGTACCTGCATGCCNAAGTGCATCACAATGGGAGGGCAGCGCGAAATGACGATTCGACGCGTCCGACGCGCCAATCAGTTCGGGGACTTGTTAACTTTACACCTTTATACTGCTTTGGACACGTGGAAATTCAGTCGACCAAAACCTCTTACTCAAAATTATGGCACTGCATGCATTGGAGGGTTTAATTACAAAGTTTTAATTTACATCTCTTGACCGAATTAAATGCCTAAGCTTTCAAGATTTGTAGATACGAAGAAGGTAGGTACTTAGACATCTATACTAATACTAGCTTTTGCCTGCGGCTTCACCAGCGTGAAATTTAGTTTGTCACAAATCGTCATAAATTATATGTTATTCTGGGTTATAAATAATAATACTGTAAAGTTGTATCAAAATCCGTTCATTAGTTTTTGCGTGAAAGAGTAATAAACATCCAGACATCCACACAAACTTTCGCAATTATAATATTAGTAGGATTATAAATGAAACTAACGCCCGTATTCACAAATGATAGGTACTTATTGCTTTTAAGTGACGCAGCAAATGGAACGTACAGCGTTGAATAGAGCTCTGTGATTAATTCGTGTGTCACCCTGTGCGCCCACGCGCACAGTGAGACCTCATAGTAATGTTTGTGAATACGGGCGTAAACTTGCTCGGAAGTTCTCCAGTACATGTCACTAACATAAGTTACACATTGAAAAATATTTATCGAACTTTCAGGGACTGAAATTAAGTGAAGGCAACAAAATATTTCTTGAAACATTTTTTTAGTCAATGCATGATTACAATAAACACGCAATCTAAGTTACGTAAGTATTTATTTATTCTCAGACGTTACTCTTGTTCAATAGCAATACCTTGAAAAGACATTATTAGTTAACCCTCAAATGTTATTTGATATAAATTATAGTCGTAATTTTCTAGAACAAAGGGGTCGTAAGTATCCATACACATCTATAGCGTTGTAGGTTGTATCCAACTGCAATAGCAATCTGATTGAGCGTACCCCTTCTTATTAAGAATTCCCGTCCACCTTCCACGTCTCGGAATTAATCGCCCGAGACTCTCTCTATTAAAGTTTCTTTGCGAGTTGTTTAAGAGCTCCCTAAAACTCAGATAATGTTAAACATTCATTTAAGTGCGCAGTCCAACTTTCAAATCGCCGTAAATCTTATAATACTTTGGACGTTTAATATTCATATCACTGACGCGGCCCAGGAGAAGCTTGAAAGTGTAGGACTTTGTAGAAAATTACGTATTATACAATACACGTTTAAACTAATAAGCACTATATTTTTTGATATTTGTAGCTAATTGTGATTTGAAATACAAAAAATAATGCTAAACATTAGTACATACCATAATCTTTAAAATATTTAATTAACCTGTTCTTGAAAATAGTCTTTGATTACTACTGCTACAACCATCCCAACTTCCCAACTAATATTATAAATGCGAAAGTAACTCTGTCTGTCTGTCTGTCTGTTACGCTTTCCCGCTTAAACCTCGCAACCGATTTTGATGAAATTTGGCATAGAGATAGTTTGAGTCCCGGGAAAGAACATAGGATAGTTTTTATCCCGGTTTTTGAAACAGGGACGCGCGCGATAAAGTTTTTCTGTGACAGACAAAATTCCACGCGGGCGAAGCCGCGGGCGGAAAGCTAGTAAAACCCATAAAATAACTGAATAGAATCTAAAACTAACCAAAACAAAGCTATCAGACATTACAAGTCGCTAATTCCAGCTGAGTTCCGCAGCGGTATCTAAAGGCCGGGCGCTGAGCAGCCAATGTTCATATTAGGTGCGCGATAAAATAAAATTTGAATGGCATAGCTGCCCCATTACCATTCCGGCGCGATAGGCCCCGGGGGCACTGGCGGGTTAACTTGCTACGGCCCGCCCGCTGATGCCTGCAAACCTCGTTGATGCAGCATTTACAGGTTAAGTCGTTTTTTTGAGAATAGAATAGTTTTTATGTAACATTTAAATCTTTGTGTTTAAAATAACGAAAAGAAACGAATGATATTGTAAAAATAAATCAGCATTTTATTGTTTGCGTTGGCTTTACATTTATGAAAGTTTTCCTATAAATAATACGAACTGTTGTACATTCGTTTACGCACTGCATAAAATTAACTACTGGCGTTTTATATCCCTATGAATACCGTTTGATTGTTTTCCAACGACCTAGCCAGTGTCACTCTATATTGTCTGACAAAACAATAAAATCGGGCGCCGTAACCGATAGCCATAAAAGGCTCGATGGCCCGTCCATAAACTCATAAAATGGATGTAAAAAAGTAGGCGAAAGCTAAAAAATTTCCACATAATCGAATATGTGGTGCTGTAGAGGCTACTCATAGGAAGTATAAAGCAATTGCGGGAAGCCGCCAAAACACGTAGCTCGTTCATTCGAGTCGTTATGTTAAGGCCAGAGCTTGTGGATCTTTGGCACCCCAACCTTTGTACGTCTTGTTGAAGTTCGCGGAGTAATCGAAGGGTCTTAATAAACTGGCCGGGTTAGCTGTCTGAGCAAGTCGTTCTGACGTCGCCGCATCAGCGGTTTGGATACAATCTCTCCTCTCATTTGTGGGCTATCACGACGTTAGTGTTCTTTCGAGAGGTGCTGAACACTAATCGTAAATGTTACATAGTAATCATTATGCGGCTGCAACCAGACGCTGGCTTTAAGGCACCTAATCAGAGATGAAGAAGACAATGTAGAACAACATTGTATCAAGTTCCGTTTTGAGATATGAGAAAAAGAAGTATGTTTGGCTGCTTTACTGCACCCATTTTACTGTACAATTGGATCTATTTTAAATACTAACTAGATGACTAACTGAACTATATTTTATCACTAGCTTCGCTATATCAACAAAATACTTCGAACCGAAAGAAAATTTAGTCCACTCCATATATTATTCATTCATCTGATTTTAAACAGCAAAGACGCAAGTCTCGTGGCCAGCCGCCCGCCCAAATCGTGTTCCCGTCCGTATTTAAAATAAACGACTTTTATACACTTCGCATATTTTCAAAAGTCGGCGCTCCGGGCGTATTATCACAAACTCTGATCCCCTTACATGAATAATTAGGTGTTTCCCGGATTTATCCCTGTCGTTATCGGCGGAACACGCGTTTAAAATTCGCGAAGTCATTCTTTTCGCTTTATTGAGGATAATATGTCTCGGCTTGGATGCGATTCTGATTAATGCGTTTAGCCCGAACCAGTGCAACTTTGTCAGAGATAGCGGAGAAAAATAAAGGGACGTGACTCGACTAATTCACCTTTTACGAGAGGTAAAGAGTGATGGCACTTCTTTCCTTATTTTTTCTGCCAAAGAGTTAGCACGATTATGCATCCACCTCCTTTTAAAAATGTGGTTTATATGAAGAAATTTTTAAGACATTCTTCTTTTGAAATTTAGCCTGACAGAAGAGATAGTAAACTAGCACGTCACTCAGATAATTTTCTAATTATTTTATTGTTGTTTTCTTGAAAATATGAAAAGTAGACTTCTTTTAGCATTGTGTTTTGGTAAGTTACAATTTAATAAAACTAATTTAATTTGCGCATTATCAAAATATTTCTGAGTCTATCATTGTATTTCAGTTTTACTATTGAGTGACGGTGCATTGTCGGAAGGTGAACATGATATCAAGAGGGGCGTTTATCCCTTCATGGTAAGTCTACGTATCGTCATAATGTGCACGAGAAGTTCTGTATCTGTGTGTGAAGCTTGGGGATTCCCCTCATTGAAAGATCATTGACAGATTTCTTAAATCTATAGCTGACAAGACTGTCCTGAACTGCTCATACTATGTTAAAAATATTTAGTCGATTGCGAGTGAACGAGAAAAGCAGATATTTCGTGAATTTTGTAGTCGACAAACTAACTTTGTTTCTTTGATTCAAAGTTATTTTAGCCTATGTAACCACCACCATACGCACGCTTAAGTAGTAGGTACTAATGCTACTTAGCAGTCTGATCTATTAGAGTTAAAGTTCCTTTTATTTTCATACATTAATTTAGGATAATTAAGCTATTTTTTGTTTATTGTCCTAGGCCTTCCTATACTATCCTGACGAGAACGTGGTAGAAGCAACAGGCGAGCGGTTCCTCCGCGGGGCCGTGTTAGTCAAGCCAGAGTGGCTGGTTTCCTCTACCGTGGGGTCCATGGTGGTTAACGGGGTCCCACTCGGCTTCCCCCGCAAGACTTTGATGGCGAGACTTGGCACAGTGTCCATTGACACTAACTTCACTTTGAATGAAGACGAAGATGAGCAAGAAAGAGAGGTCAGTTTAGGATTTTGATTAGTTTATTGTATTTTCAATTTTATGTTACTTTTTATTGCAAATGTAATTAAATTTGGGCGTCGCTTGTTTTATGTTATGTGGACATAGTAGCTTGGCAAAGATCAAGTGGAAATAAGATTATAATTACAAAATCTGTAAGTTTTTATATCTTTTAGGTGATACAAATCGTTCGACCACATAACCACAGCGCGACACAGTGGTGGCAAGACGACATCAGCCTGCTGAAGACATTGTTGCCTTTCAACGTGACCACCGCCGTGGCCATCGCCACCATACGCTCGAAGCCTGTCGATGTCAGCAGCACCTGCTTTATCTTAGTGTTTGCTGTAAGTGTATTTTAGTACTTTGGTATTGTGTCACCTTCACTGGATGGGTTTTTATTGGCGGTTAAGCTGTAGATCCTGGCTACACAGGAGTTGCAGTGGTGGGAATAGTCCCCTGCTGTCAGGATTTACTTAAAATTCTGCTAATTCATAAATATCAAAAGAAACATAATTTGTATTTCTTTCCAGAAAAGATATAGCAACTCCACTGAAGAGAAGCTTCTAATGCAACTCTACGTTGACCCACTACCAGCCTCCATCGAAAACTGTGGCCAGCACTTCTCTGAGGCAACCATGCTGTGCGCCAATGATAGCGATGAAAACAAAAATGCAGTTTACGACCCTGAGTTTTGCCAAGTAAGTTTTAAGAGCGTTTACGCCGTTTGGCGCAAAAACAGTACTTTTTCAACTCGTTACAATCATTAACCAGTAATATTACAAATATGTTATAGGCATGAATAGTTAGGCAATTTCGTCGTCTAAATAGTTAATTGAGAAAATATTGCGATTAGTTTAGTATTTAAGAATTCTATCAAGATAAGTCCACACATGTTTTGTAAATTTCCACTTAAGCGTCAGTTTACAAGCTGAAATTTGTATAAAAATACTGTGAAAACGATTTAACAAACATTTATATCCTATAGCATAGATCCTTNAACGTCGACTACGAGCGAAGAAACAGAGGAGGTCTCATGGCCTAAAGAGAAATATCCCGAACGCATGAAAGGTTTTGAAGAGGAAGAAAATAAAATTGAAAGAAAGACCAGCGTGGAAGCTCAGCGCCAGGACGTAAAGGTTAAAGCGAAGCGGAACGGCGCTGCTGAGAGAAACTTGTGCTTATTCCAAAGTGTATTTAGTCTGTTCATTTTGGCTAGCTTGATGTAATTTTTTATTTGAAAATAAACAGTTGTTTTAAAAAAAAAAGTATTATTTTAATTTGTTCCAATTCATAGATGGGTAATTAATCATTTAAGGCCGAGTTACACTATCCTACTTTAACTTTAACAAACGTCAAAAGTCTGCCAAAATCCATACAACGAAAGCACTGGTTATAGTTACTGTTAGTTAGCTGGTGCAACTCAGCCTTAGCAGCCTTAGTGCAATCTGTTACTAACGAACTACATATGAGCAGATAGAGGTAAAAGTAAGGATCACTCACACGGCATATTGGAGGAAAGAATAAAGGTTAATTTCTTCCTTCAGCTTTTAAGTTTTGTCACAATAATTTTTTAACAAATTCGCTCGTCAGTTTGCACACATTTCCCAACAGAAATAAAACGTACCTATTTATTAATAAATAGTTATGATTTTGAAGAGCACTCATACGGCCCGTGTGCGGTGTGAGTGATCCTAAATAATCGTCATAACTTTGGAACGGGACGTGCAAGGGATTTCGGAATTTGTTAATAGTTTTAACATATTCTTAACAATTTTTCAATACTATAAAAAGAAGTGGAAAGGCTTTATTTTCTGAAATAAACATTTTGACGTTTTCTTGAAGCGTGCGGTATGAGTGCTCCTATTTATTGGCCATAACACTTTTATCTTAGGTTTAACAAATTTTTAAACGTCATCGCAATGTTTTAACATATTTTAAGTAAAACTTCCTCGATTTTTGTTAAGATTGAAGCAAGGATCACTCCCCCCTGACTCATTTAGGAATCTAGAGACCTTTTAGAATCTATATACTGGTCTGACTGGTCATCACAAAAATCGACCCACCTACAGTTTTACAGGAAAACTCGTTTCTACTGACACAATCATGGTGCCCCAACAATATTGGTATATTTGAAAGCCCAATAAATATCCTTAAAGAAAAACACATTTAATTTCTTAATAAACAATTAACATAAACGCGATACACAATAAATGTGACTTGAAAAAAGGCCTCACTTTGGGCTCACCTCTGGGATCAATTAGACCAATTTTTATGGTTATAAAACCAAATAATGATCTCACGTGTCCTCTTTAACAGATGGATAGCGATTAATCCCAACTTAACAGTTTTATAGCCATAAATGTTGGCTCAAGCGTAACTACCTATTTTTTGAAGAAGTGACTCTGAATTCTTCTACAGACACATTTTTGGGGTAAAAACCTTTCCTTTAATGAAATGAAGTTTAGAACTAGGCTTTTAAATGGTGCCAATATTGGTGGGAAGTGGGGATGAATACGTTTGAAAGTGCTTGTCGCGGGTGGGTCGATTTTTGTGATGACCAGTGTATTTTGGAGAAGGGGTCTTTGAGCCTGACAGCCCCTCCGCTAAAACTCGAATGTATCGAGAAATAGTATAAACAGATTTATTTTTAAGCGTCTCTTAAAATCACTGTTTTACTTAAGGAATATCTGATGCGCACAAGACGGAGTGAGTATGGCAAAGTTTCAAGAATAAGTACAATTAAGTAAGGTTGCAGGCTTAACGCCTCCGCTGCTCTAATAGCATTAACAAGTTTCCAGACCGTATTGAGCGAATATTTGTACATGCCGCTACTTAGGGTACTTTCGGTGGGAATTTAAGTTTAGTGAAGATGGTGCATTGTTAGTAAGAAAAAATGGTAGGTATTAAGAATGTTGGCCAGATCTGGGTTTTATGAAGTAAATATAAATAGTGAAGAGGATAGTTTTCCTCTGAAAACTGGTGAGGGAGGGACTATTTTTACCGTGACTTGTTCAAGGTAGGTGCAGCTTTACAAATAGTGTGTCAGTCAGATTACCTTTGAATAGGGCTCTCTCGCTGTGAATAATCAACTTCTCGATGGACTGATGATCTCAAGAAAAACTGTCAGAATCGTTAACAACACACACACACGTCAAGAGACATTCCAAGAATCATTCTCGAATTTGAAATTGTAAAAGCTTTTTTCTATAATATTGACAGATTGTATTGGTTCGAACTTGTAAATTAGTATTTAATTTTAAATACAGCATAGATTATAAACTTCAGTCTTAGGTGTAATGTTACTAGTGAGCCAGGACTATGACTGCTACCTATCGAGAGCTATTATAATATCTGTTACAAATTCGCGGCGCTGGTAGGACCACAATTAGCATATCGGGTGACGGCGAGTAATCCGCCGCAGCACGGTACAGGACGAAGTTAGGGTTGCCAGGCTTATAAAACTTAACCCTTTTACTGCCCACATAGGAGAGTCACAATAGTTATACAATCNAACGCTCTTAACATGTTTTAAATTCAACAATTCGATTTATGTTACCCAAGTTATTATTTTAATTAGTGATACTTTAGTAATGGCTGCTGAATTTCTTTTATGTCTCTATCTACAGGGAAACAGCGGGGGCCCTCTGGTATGCGAGAACGAAGTTGCTGGAATTCAAACTTACATCGAAAATAACTGCAAGCAACCACATCTCTATCAACTGCTGTCTACTCGGGACAATTTCATCACGTGCGGTATCGAAGACAAATGCAACGAAGAGAACTGTGGAAACATGTGCATGCTCATCAACAAAGACGACCCAATCGTAGACGAGCCAACGACTCCAGCCGTAATGAACTTAGTCTCGGCAGAAGTAACGACGGTGACCGAAGAAATAACAATCCCTGTTCATACTTCTTCAGAGAGCACTGATGATGATGAAGTTTCTACACAGTTGCCTACACTGACAGCTGCGACTCTAAAGAGAATAACGGTAGATACTACTACTACCACAGCTGCTACTACTATAGTCACAACAACGACGACTACTACTAGTGAACCTTCAACGTCGATCACGAGCGAAGAAACAGAGGAGGTCTCATGGCCGAAAGAGAAATATCCCGAACGCATGAAAGGTTTCGAAGAGGAAGAAAATAAAATTGAAAGAAAGACCAGCGTGGAAGCTCAGCGCCAGGACGTAAAGGTTAAAGCGAAGCGGAGCGGCGCTGCTGAGAGAAACTTGTGCTTATTCCAAAGTGTATTTAGTCTGTTGATTTTGGCTAATTTGATGTAATTTTTTATTTGAAAATAAACAGTTGTTTGAAAGAAGAGTAATGATTTAATTTGTTCCTATTCATAGATAGGTAATTAATTCATTTAAGGCTGAGTTGCACTATATTGCTTTAACTTTAAGAAACGTTAAAATCAAAAGCCACAAACATCGGGGCGGAGTTGCACCACCTAACTTTGACCGTAACTTTAACGATAACCCGTGTTTTTGTATGGAATTTGACAGATTTTTGATGTATGTCAAAGTTAATGTTAAGTGGTGCTACTCTAAGTAGGTACCTAACCCTATACACACACGGTAACACTATCTATACAGTATTCCAACTCGGCCATATTTTTGAAAAAAATGTCAACAGCCCCCGCGGTACGTCACGGTATGACAACATGCGATAGGGCTGCTTACCTACAGTACCCATTCTAATAAAATTACATCTGTCTACTTAGAATTTCTATCTAGTTTTGTGATTGTATTTTTTATTTATTTACAAAACACTTTCTGAATGGAATAGGATAAAAATGCGTGTTGTTTTGTGATTAGTAGATTTAATTTAAAAAAATATAATAAAATAATTTTGAATCTACTAATCATAATGAGTACTTAATGACCTGTTACTTTAATTTCAGGCGGGCGAAATCGTTGGCAAAAGCTGGTTTTATACAATATATAATTTTCATTTCAAATCAAACTGACTGAAAATGACAGTTTCTGACAGTTAATGACTAGTTTTTGACAAAGATCGTAAATGACGGTCAGCCAAATTCAATCACCTTAGTCATTTTCAACACTAGGCCATCGACATCCATTCGGCACATTCGAGACACCCCTAACTTTTGGATTTCGACCACGTCCCGAGATTTGAAATTCGAAGGAAAGCTCGCGTTTCGTCGGTGTATATGAAGTTACAATACTGTATGATATTATTACCGTGCCCTATAGTTTAACTTAGTGGAATCTGTCACTAGTCATGACTCATTTAGGAATCTAGAGACCTTTTACAATTTATTTTGGAGGAGGGATCTTTGGGCCTGAAAGCCCCTCCGCGCCCATACGCAAACGCATGTATCGCTTTATTTTTAAGCGTCTCTTAAAATCACTGTTTTACTTAAGGAATATCTGATGCGCACAAGACGGAGTGAGTATGGCAAAGTTTCTCGAATAAGTACAATTAAGTAAGGTTGCAGGCTTAACGCCTCCGCTGCTCTAATAGCATTAACAAGTTTCCAGACCGTATTGAGCGAATATTTGTACACGCCGCTACTTAGGGTACTTTCGCTAGGAATTTAAGTTTAGTGAAGATGGTGCATTGTTTGTGAGAAAAAATGGTTTTAAGAATGTTGGCCAGATCAGAGTTTCTGAAAATATTATAAATAATAAAGAGGATAGTTTTCCTCTGAAAACTGGTAGAGGAACTTTTTTTACCAAGTTTAAGGTGGGTGCAGCTTTACAAACAGTGTGTCAGTCCGTTACCTATTAATAGAGCCTGCTCTTGCTATATAATCAGCAACTTCTCGATGGACTGATGATCTCAAGAAAAGCTGTCAGAATCTTTAAGTTAGGTAACCTTGTAAATTAGTATTTAATTTTATAAAATACAGTGGATTATAAATTTCAGTCTCAGGTGTAATGTTAACGAGTCAGGACTCTGACTGCTACCTATCGAGAGCTATTATAATATCTGTTACAAATTCGCGGCGCTGGTAGGACCACAATTAGCATATCGGGTGACGGCGGGTAATCCCCGGCCGCCGCAGCACGGTACAGGACGAAGTTAGGGTTGCCTTGCCAGGCTTATAAAACTTAACCCTTTTACTGCCCACATAGGAGATTCACAATAGTTATACAATGGGGCGCGAATATGTAAGAAGTACTTAGATTGTCTAACTGCTAAGATTAATAAAGAGCTAATTATGTAGACAATTATTCGATCAATCAAAATAAGTATTTCTTAAAATGAAATGCAGAAAATCTTGTCTTTGGTACTCTAAATATAATAATACTACAGTCCTACTCCAATCTACTGTTTAGTCTATGGTTTAGTCTGACGATTTATGCTGACTGATCTTTGATGGAGGTAAAAGTCTAGCACAGTTAATGTCCAGTAAATAAACTGCTAAATATCATAAAGGTAAGCTTACACCCTTACATGTTGTATTTGATCAGACAATTATTCAATGAGCTACCTATGTTTGGCATTATCCAGACGTGTGGTAACCCTACACGTAACAATTTAAATTTTCACCCGCGCTACGGGACGGGACAATTTACATTTTCACAAGTCGCGGTTAAGTACACTTAACTTGGAAGTCTACGGACCAGTAATTTGTAGCAAAGTTTTAATCTTGGGGAATGTGTTTAATTTATGCATTGAATTAATATGAAGATTTATAAATTAGTGGGCTTATCATAATACTGTAATTTTGTTCAGGCAGCCTTTGTAGGCAAATTAGTTTCAACTTAATCTCCAATCAAGTACATAATATTGTTTTAAGTTAGTACTTAGTACTCGTATAAATAAGAGAATATAATTATATTAAAGTTCTAATTTGACGACTCCTTGGTCTGATGGTTCTCTTGCTTGAATCACACGATGCATGGACGAATTATTATCAGCCATTGAGTTAGAGCATTGCTTTTTCTAATTTTATTATAATGTTTATTTTAAAGCAGCCATACTAGCTAATATTAACGTACAATCTCTGATTAGTTAAAAGTTACATAATTTAGATACTTATTTAACTTTCAACTAGAACTAATAATGACAGTCTTAATTGGACTATAAACGCTTCAAATTAAATTAGAAGAAAAAAATCAAGTTACCATCATGAAAACAATAAAACAACTAAAATTGATGCATGAAAACTTCAGCAACCCATAACAGGAAGCTTATAAACTAAGCCATACAAAAGTCCTGGTAAATACTTAAGCAAATTTGCAAGTTACCAACTTTGAACACCTCCGGTGTTCGCTTCGGCGGTCGACGATTTCGTATCGACGCGCTTAAAATATCAAAAAGTTTTAAGAACCTTCGGCATCAAGATGTGAGTATGCTGGGCGGCAAAATGCAGATAAATAGTCGACAAGTTTTAAGAATAGTTCGCCCGCATCCTCAAAAAAAACTTTAATGTTGGTATAATTTCGTTTCGTTTTCAGCCAAATGACGTCCACTGCTGGACAAAGGCCTCCCCCAAGGTTTTCCACAATGAACGGTCCTGCGCTGCCCGCATCCAGGCTCTTCCCGCGACCTTCACCAGATCGTCGGTCCACCTAGTAGGAGGCCTGCCCACGCTACGTCTTCCAGCCCGTGGTCGCCACTCGAGAACTTTCCTGCCCCAACGGCCATCGTCTCTACGAGCTATGTGCCCTATAATTTCAGATCTAATATAAAACGAGTTTGGCTTGATAAAATAAAAAAAAAACAAAAAAGCTTGAAATCTGTAAAATGTAAGAATTACTTATCTAATGTATAATTTTATTATTTTCATGATAAGCGTACTAAAAACTTTCTGATCACCATTTGTTTTAGTTAATCTCATGAAAACTCTAATGTAGGACTAGTAGCGTAAAAAGAATTAATAAATAGGATGAAAGAAAGAATTGATGAAAGAAATGAATGGACGTTTACAGTTAAGGTATTTTAATTAATTTAACCTTTATGCCAATAATATCTATCGCCGATATTATCTTAAAAGCGAAGTGGGGTTTCTTCCCGACACTCAAAGTGCACTGAATCGGAATGTATCTTAATACGACTCGATGTGTTTAAATTCCGAATAGGGAGCGCATCGGAAAACTGTTATGCATATTTTAAAATAGTGGTGTCCAGCAATCGCTCTCTGGAGTTATCGATAAGTCAATAATCAACACATGTTATGAATGCTGTGAATAGGTACTTTCTATTGATAAATAAGTACTACTATTCATAGTACAGTCGTCTACAAATCAGACATTTTGTTGAAGATTTGCACCAATGACAACCAAATAATTACGATAAGTACATGGTGTTCGAATATTGTTAACATCAAAGCTCGCACACGAAGTATTGATAGATATAATTTTAAGACTCATTCATAAAATAATTATAGATTAAATAGTAAGTTTGTAATTGATAGTAAGTAGAGTAATAATCTTCCAAGAGAAAATTTTAAGAGAAACTTAGTAAGTATCGATAACATCAGGTGGTCGATATTCAAACTTTAGAAAATTACCGCATCTCTCAAAGTTAAATTTACTTACAGCGGATCCAGGAATGAGAATTCCATGCCAATATCTCTTTGGGAACTTTAAAATGTTTTATGATATTCTTGAGACGTGATAACGGCGATTCTTGAATACCCGCTCGATTGAAATGAATATAAAGAGGCTGCATTTGAATTTATTTGAGGTGTAAGAAGGAGTAAGTTGTCCGAACAAAATGAAATACGCCTGGTGGCTGCTCAGCGGCAAGCGCCGTGAACGGTTTGCTTGCTATTGAGTTAAACCGTGCCACTTATAAAATGGAAGAATATCAGGTAAAGTGCCCAAATATTTGGGAGATTTATAGAATGCCTACTTAAAATCTATCTATATAAAATCGAAAGGTCAGTGANGTCACTAACTGACTCACTCATCACGAAATCTCAGAATCTACAAGTGCGAGGAGTCTCAAATGTTGCATAGGGGTTCCTTTTAGAAAGTAGGTGCTCACTAAGACGGGATTTTGCAAAATTCAACCCCTAAAGGGTATAAATGGATCCACGCGTGTGAAGTCGCGGGCGGCCACTAGTGTACCTACAAATATAGGGGTTCTTAATACGTGAGACTTTACTTTTGTATGTAGGACTACAAATTATTAACAATGTTATCTTAGTAGATATTCTTTGGACTATTTACTTTGGTTTAATGAAATACTCACCTAGACATAAAGGATCCCCAATAAGGTTAATGAAATAAAAAAATGTAAGTTGAAAAAACAAACATCGTTTTCCCAGATGAGTTTACTTTTCATGAATCCTACTTTCCAATTAAAAACAAACAGTGTCTTCATTTAGAAATCCGTAAGAACTCTTGTTTATATCCTTTCTACTAATTAACTTTGCCTTAAGCAATTGCAGTCATTAGAGTTAACAAACAAAAGGAATTAATTCAACAATCTCGTAAAAAGAAATAAGCAGTTCATAAAACTTTTAATAATTAAAACTCGAATAAAAATACGTGGCTCGTGGGTGTTGGTGGCCAGTGTAAATAGGTCTTTATTGTTTTGACGCGTGTTAGCAAACTTGTAGGGTTGTGTTGGAGGAGGGTTTTTTCAGGGCTCTCGAAATAGTGGTCGGGGTGTAGGAGTCATTTTCCTGGATGGATCCCCCGCCGGAGGATAGAAGAACTGACAACTGTCGTTAACTCATCCTGACCGGGCATTAAGGAGTGTAAACAGGGAGTTGATCATAAAAATAATAGCTTGCCTATTTATTAAAATAGCTTTAAAAGAGGGCACCGTTTTTTGTTTTTGATTTTTTTTTTCAGGAATATTTTGGGATTTCAATAACAATTAATTCTAAATGTAGTAATACCTAGGAAAATGCATATCACATCTAGATGTAGATTCCATTATCTAAGTTTTACAATATTTATTTACAAATACAATTTTATTCGGTACTTATCAAAGTATTTTTTTCAAAATTTCGCTTGAGGTTTTCTTTTATGTAAAAGTAGAAACTTGTGTTAGAAAACCCCGCTCTCCATACAATAGCTTACATGATTTCAGCATTTCGACTATTTAAATTCAAGGCAAACAGAAAGCTTAGTTGTAGATAGGAAGTGGACGGAAAGCTTTACATAAAGGTTGTACCGAAATCTTAAACACGTAATTTCTCATGAAGCTCAATCGAGCAATTTTACGATTGGTTCTGTTCATAATGAAAAAGGAAATCGATCGTGCACACAACAAAAAACTTATCTGAGAATAACCGATCATCAAATCCGCCGACACCGTCTGTCTGTAGGCAATTTTCAATCTCTTTCCTATTTGTGACAGTAATAAAGCGCCCGGGAAAAGTCAACAATCAATTTTGTATTTCAATTTATTCCCAACCATCCTAGTTCGTGCGGTGATAAGAAAAAGAAAAACGCGTTCATTGAAAACGGAAATTATTGCAAGAAGCCATCAGTGGTGTGCGCCGGCTTCCTACGCTGTTTTCTTTTTTATTTTCATTTTTTGCCGAACGGTTGCCAGTTTTGATTTGTGGCCCGTCGCGTCGGTCGCCCGCCATTTTTCACGCGTCTCATTGTGTAGTTCTCGCTTGAGGAGACCGGCTGTGAAGTTTGTTCGCGCGACTCACACCTTTATTTTGATGCTATTTGAATACCGGTTCAATAAACTGTTGTTTACTCATAAGTCATACAGCAGTTATAACATCGATTTATTTACAGAAATGTAGCTTTATAAGGGTTCTTAAATAGGTTACGATTTCTTATATGTATAGGTAGGTAATTAGGCTTGCTTACCTACCTTCAGACTTACAGAAAATTTTGTCACTTACTTTGGGAAATTTCTGTTCATAAACAGCTAAATTGCATATTAATCTATGTTTTAATAGAATAGTTTAAAAAATAGAAATTATAAATCTATGTACTTACCCCTTGCTCGATGGACCGATGTCATCAAGAAGATAGCTGGCAGTTGACTGGATGTTAAAGCAATCTTTGTTGTGCTCCTCTCTTATAACCTTCTTAGCTTACGTCCGCAATGAAAATGGATCTTCATTTCTACCACATGATAATGACCACTTACTTTTGTCAACAAAATATCCTTCGGGGGTTTGTGTAGGGTAGACAGTAGTTTATCAAATCAAACCACAGATTTAAAAAAGCACTGATTGAGAAATACCTGTCTGTAACTCTCTTCTAAGAATCGCACGACCCTGAAAGCACCTTGATGGAAGGTATTACCTACTGACTTATGAGCAAAACCGTAACTTTATAATTCCTTGTTTACTTGCAATTACACACACAAAAACCGCGAAAATCGAAAGAAAACGATCACTTGAGTATTTCCACAAATCGTTGTTATTGTGACTGTGTTTGCAGACGAAATTAAAGATGGCCTCGATAACAGTTCTATCAGTTGCGCGACAATGAGGCCGTGGTGGGAAATTGGGGTGATTTTTCTCCTCTGTGCACGTCCGGAGCGTCAGCATAGAAAGTGGTGTCAAATGTCAATATTGTGACAGCTGATATCAAAGGTCAGGTTCGGTTTTGTGTTTACTTCCACAGTGTAGATACTTGCTGTACTTACTCGTATCTTTAACATTTAGTTGTTGAGCTGGTAAATGTACCTACCTACTGACGAAATTAAAGATGGCTTCGTTGTTAATAAAAAGATGATGGTAGACGATAAACGGCTGCGATGAATGTTGCCCTACTTTCTTTAAATAACTAATAATTAAAATTAAATAGATAATTAACTGGTGTTTAACTTTTAAAATACTTAAACAGTTGTTGTGAATGTGAGGGTTTACAATGCAGACAGTACAATCGATTTTATTCCTGAATCGCTCGTAAAATAAGTTACGACCAATGGGAAAACCAAATGTGGACTTTCATACATTAAGATCCGTGAGAATCCAATAAGAAGCGCATAGTCGTATATGAGTCTTGTAAGTAAACGTATTAACGACTATCTTTGTAACTATGAGGTTAATCATACTGGAGCACTGCTTTTTACCATTATTGGAACTATAACAGGTGTTTAGTAAAGCTTTCCCAGGTATCACGTGAGCTAATTTGATCTGTTTAAATACTCGACATTAACTAATCGAAAATAGTGTTTCAAATACGCACCACTTCATTATTGAGGCTATTTAAAAATTAAAAAATAATTATTAAACTTTTAATTAAATGAATTTACCTTTTACTTAAATGGAGACGGTTAAGTAAATAAAAGAATGATAACAGTACCTTTCACGGATTTCATTTTTTTTAATCTGATTTAATTTCCCATGAAGATTTGAATTCTCTGTTTGGCCTAGCTTTTTGGTTAGCTGGAAGAGAATGCCGCATGGCATTAAGCTCGCCTGTTGTACCTATATTTATTATGTGTGTGCAAAGAAGATTTTAAATAAATAAGATACCTTCATTAACTCACACGGGTGTTTGGTAAAAAAAAAGTAATTTTAATAGACTTTGCTTGCCAACGGTACCACAGAGCGGCGCAAGGTGAACTCCTGAGGTGCTATCAGTGTGTTCGCGGTCGACATTTTATGCCCGATACGACCTCTCTGGTCTCCATAATGGTGCTCTCAGAACGAGGACCTTTTCAAATTTCCGCTCACCTCCAAACATGATAGCGGTTTTTCTTTCATTGACTATTTTATTGTCACATTTTGTTGTAATCGGATACTAAGATAGGTACTTTATCGCGTATAAAATGTGATTTATAACTGAATAGGGTGGCAATAACGTAACACTCATTCAGTCACAGTCCTGGACTAATTAGATATCACTAGTTTTCCTTGGATCAAAAAGGTCAAAAGTTTTTATAACTACTTTTTTCTTTTCAATGCTCAACCCTACTACAAAATTCAATTATTTACTTAATTTTGAGTTTTAAGCTTCAAAATGAATTAAAAAAGACAATTATAATTTTCTGTTGGTAATCTTGCAGTGCTTTATTTTACAGGGATTTGCTTTATAATATTCAGTCCAAAAAATATTGAGATATTGAGATTCGTTAACTTTCTCTTAGGTTCCTGAAATAAAAACGCATTTTTCCGTCTTGATTCATACTAATTATGAAATTACTATGCTTAGATTTAGTTTTAGATTGCACATGAGATATTGAAATAAAAATCTTCATAAGTTTTGAACAAGGCTTTAATGTACTACATCTTTGGTTGTTATCATTGGTTAAAAGAGAACCTGACATAATGAGTGGTCTTCATGCTAACAGGAATGCCAAGATACAGCCGACACTGAGTTTCATTACAGTTTATACATCTAAGGGAGAGGACACACTGTAACATCATTATTATAGTTAAATGTACTGTAATATACACCAATATCGCTTTACCCAATAATCGTCCTTAATCCAGATGAAAATACTGGTCAATCTTCAATATGCTCACTCCCTTTCTAATACACATATTATTATAACAGTTCAGATTTAACATACATGATTAAACGACAAGGTCATGTTGACAACTGTACCTATAAATGCAGAAAAATAGAAAATCCATAGACAATACACGGATGCCTTCAAATATCGCTAAAGAAAATTAGAATTTTCATTTCGAGTCAGTATTTTGACGTTTCAATCTTAAATGACAGTTCTAAGAATCCGTCGCACAGAAACTTGCCAGTATAGTAGATCAACTTGATAAAATACTGACTAGAAATAAAAATACAAGTTTAATTTGAACTATTTGAATATAAACACTTATCCACATTTCGCTATTTAATTGAATATTTATTAGATACAATATTCTACTTAAAGTGAGAGTTTTATTTACATAAATAATACAAACATTATAACAATGTTTATAGTAAACTTAACAATTAATATACAATATAGATACAAAACGAAATAACAAATGAGTTTTAAGAATGAAATAAATATCATTTCTTCGAAACGGCTTAGCCAAAAGTTTTAAAATAATTAATGTAAAAGCACATAAGGAGTATAATTATAATATACAAGTTTTTTAAATCAATTTAAGATTAAATTGGATAAATAAGTACTTTTAGAAATCCATAATATTTGACTTCCAATTAAAAAAGGTATAAATAAACAACATTATGTAGTCCACATAAATATTTGTACAACATAAAAATCATACAATAAACCTAAATTACAAAATAAAATAACCGAATTTTATGTGTCAAGAAGTCCTAAACATTAAAAAGAATGCTTGTACTATAATACATTACATCGATAATAATAGTGAATGTCTTAATAATATTTACACATAACATTTATTATTACATACTAGGATACATTTCATCGCTCGTGAAAGTAATAAATCAGGCAGTCTTATAACCCGCGCTTGCCTTGATTGCGGTAAAACTTAGGACACACAAGAAATGTAAGCCCAAAAATGCTGCAACATAGAAATACACATCTAGTTGACTCGATTTTTTTAACAGTTTCTCGATCACATTCCATTTCAGCAGCTTCCAAAACACTGCGTGTGTTCCCAGCTTAACACCATCAACCAGAAATTTAATTTTAAACACCATTCTTCGCACATCGCTCTTACACTATACAGCAAATTGCCTGTTCTGAGATCAAGGTATGAGATTTTACAACTAAACATAGGTCCGTAATGGAACTAGATTTACGCATTTTGAACAATCACGAAGCTAGTTTCATTGCTGACAGTACATTTTCCTAATTACATTCTCGAGGGTTGGATCAAAAGTGTGGATATGCCACGTAGGTATAATAAATGTGAACTAACTACAGTTTGGCATTTGCAATTATTCTACACAGAAGCACTTTGTCTCCGTAATGTCTGTTTCTGACCGTTCGCGTCACTAGATGGCGTTTTCGGTTAGTTACCACGCGCACGCTTAGTTTTGGTACTTAGCGTACGGGTGGGCCGCGTCTCAGGCGCGATAGTCAGATCAGCTGGACGCAGAAAGGCCAAGGGGCTTGAGGTGCGGGGGGGCGGCGAAGGGCGCGGGAGAAGCACCTGACATGTTGTTGTTGAGGTCGCCGGCGCGGCCCGAGCCGTTGATCATGCCGCCCATCGCGCTGCTTGTCTGTGGAAGAAAGTTTCTGTCAGCATACAATGATCCCATGAAAGCTGAAAATCTCTTCATAACAGTCTCATCATTCAGCCTCATGGCTGTATTGGCTGATAATTTATTTGATAGGCAAGCAAAAAAGCACGATCTCCTGCTTTTTTAATCCGGTCGTCAATAAAATCCTTGTCTATCGGTTTTTCTTATTTATCGAATATACATAGGTATAGGGCATGGCTTTATTACGTGAATTCCAATAAATACTATTGCACAACTCTTTCAATTGAATCCACTGTATTCCAGGTAACCTCTGATATTTGTAAATACTCGAGCTTTTTGTTTGTGATTTTCCAGAATCGAACAACAAACGATTGGGAAAAACTAATAAGTAGCGATAAATAAAGCTTCAATATTCAAACGGGGCCTTGGGCTAAACTTCTAAGAAGTACCTAATACATAATTATTGCTTCCTGACTAGGGATGTTATGGATATATATTTTCGGTTATGGATATGGTTACGGATATAGGAATTATATTATACCGGTTTCGGTTACGGTTACGGATATTTCTTTATTTCTGATATCCGAAAGTTTAGGTTACGATTACGGATATCTGTGCTTTAGAATGCAATTTGCAATAGTTGTCCAACACGGTTCATTCATGGCCGCATACTTCACATCGAATAAAAAGTAATAAAAAATAACTGATACTAGATGGCATTACAACGTTTGTCGCACTCACGTTAACCCGCGGCTGTTATGCCTTTACATGTATAATGCTATACAAAAAAAAAACTGCCTACATAATTTCGGATATCTGAAAGTTCGATAACGGTTACGGATGTCCATAACATCCCTGTTTCGACTAATTAGTTATTCGATGAAATCTGACTCAGAGGATTTCTAGAGAATTGTTTATCTGTCTCTTATTTTTGCGAAAAGGATGACATCCGGAACAATTTAATTAGTAACTAACGTCAATAAATAAGGGTAGGCCATGTTGGCGAAAATGAGGCGCTCCTCGTAGTCGTACTCGTAGAGAACCTTACTCTCGCACAGGTAAAACTATAGTTTCCTAGGTTATCCATAGCCAGGATTAAGACAAGTTGGGAATAATACACACCGGTGCGCGCGGTGGAGAAGGATGGTCTACCGCTTCAGATGCGAGCCTTACGGATCTAGGTCATGTTTGCCAACTCGAGGCGCTCCTCGTAGTCGAATCTTGTTCTCAAGTAGAACTAGTTTCCTAGGCTGGATTAAGGCAAGTTAGGAATAATACACACCGGTGGAGGAGGGAGGTGCGTGGTCTGCCGCTTGAGATGCGATAGCGGAGGCGGGTTGTAGGCCATGTTGGCGAACACGAGGCGCTCCTCATAGTCGTACTCGCAAAGGATCTTGTTCTCGCACAGGTAGAAACGGTCGCCGACGCAGAATCTGCAACAATTAGGCCAGTTATAGGAGGCATACAAGTGGGTTAAATAAACATACCATTCTTACATAAATTATAATAATGTTACAAGTACAACAACAGACAAGACCGAACTAGAATTCAATCTTAAAAGATAAGTAACTTAATAAGTAAATATCTTGTTGCATAGCATAATCATCTATCCACCATAATATTTAATTAAAACTGACATGGAGAAATACTAAAGAGGGAAATGAGTGGGCTAATAAGAATAGAAATGTTGCGATAAAAACAACCTAATTACTCACGTAAGCTCCATATTGAATTCATATTTATAACAATGCATTTCATGCGTCATTTTTCTAGCTAATTGGGTCACTCATACGCCATTGTAACAGAATTCTAAATGGCCATGCAGACAACGCAATATCCTATTACACCCGATGCACAAGTCTGATTCAGTTACAGAGTGGGCTGGATCCAGAAAGATCCAATTAACGATTCTTCATGGAACTCATGGCTAGCACTAACAACCCACACGCATTATACCATCGAGGCCGGCTCTGCGTTAATCAAATTACTATACCCCATTTACGTGCGCTGTCTACAGTGAGCAAGCCGTATTGATAATCTGCGACGGTGCGATTTAATCGGGCGAGGAAACCAGTGAAATGTCTGAAAAGTAAAATTTACTATCGCGAGTTGAAAGGTCAGCGTGAGCCAGGAGGCGCGATAACGTCACGCGAGCGCGCATCCCTCAATGTGGCAAAACAAAAGGTATCGCCTTCGACTCGCCGGCAGTCGCCAGTGGCCGCCCGCCGTGATAAGGCGACCTTATCTCCCCCAGCCCCCGTCTTCCGCCCCTAGCTTCGGCCACCCTGCCAACTCTTTTGTTTCACTTGTCACAAAAATTAAGCGCAATAGCTCTGCTACAAATGTCTCTTTTTTAAGGGGCCAATTTCCACCGCAACTCAGTCGATTTCGCCGCTCTTAATTAACTTTATTTCCTGTTCTCTCCGTTCCCGACTTTTGTTTTTTGGGAGTTGTCCTTTTTATTTTGCTATTTTTTGTCTGCAACCGCGTAATGGAAAAGATGTAGAACGAAATTTTAATGACTGCGCAAGTAAAGCTTTGTGAGGATGGCTATTGTTTCGCGCGATAGCGTCGCCGAGTTTGACGGTTTACGTGTCTATTGACTGCCCCTCCGCGTTGAGACAATAGCGTTTAGATGCAAGCTTTTCGAGATTTCACAATCATTAACGTCTATACTTTTGTGTAGATAGACGTGTTATCTTTTCATTGCTATTTACGTGTTTTAACAAACAGAGTTCCAGCTCTCTTTACTTATGTATATCTTGGCTATGGCAGAATAACAGGGTTTGTGGGTCTCCTGCAATCACTGAGTCATAGAACTTTTTGTCTCTTATGATTTTTGTATCTGTGAAATACTGTAAATGAAACCTGTTTTGAGACAAATAAATACTTTCTATTCTATTCTATTCCCTTAACGCTTAAAATTAGAGACGAATTATACAAACAAACCTTTCTATTGAAATTATGTCAGTGCGATGCGATGATAACATTAAAACCTACCGCTTTAAAACTTGACAAGTCAAAGACTTTTACCAATTTACATATTATAACTATTAGCAAATCAAAACTTTAATAGCACCACACACGATTTATCAAACGTACCTAATTTAAGTTCTTTTTCTACGTTTCCTCAAATCAGTCATATCCAATGTTACAAAGCTCAGCTCTAGTCTCGCAGCTAGGGGACAGTTAGCTCCAGTCGGAGTGATTTCATTAATTCCTAGCGTTCCGAGTGGCATTTCCCCATCGATCTCCACATTTCCATGCACAACAAAGTTATGAGCGTGGCTCGGCTGAGAAATATCGTGTGCGTCAAATTTTCCGCTGGTGGCGCAGCGCGACGCACGTCTGACGGCACACGCACAGCTCAGTGAGAACAGTTTCTTCATTTTGCTTATTCTATACAATTTGCGTCTAGGTAAATTATATTTTTGATAATATTATTATATCATTCTACTAGTACAATTGGTATTCGAATAGCATACTATACAATCAATTTACGAAAGTTAAGTGTTGTTAATTATAACGGTACTTACAACTTAAGCTAGTAGGTGTGGCAGTAAGTATGTAATAGACAGATTTTTACTGTTTTGCCTCTTATCAAAGGGGACGATTTTCGTTACCATTATAACTTGAGCCTTGAGCGTTGTTAGAAGCCTAGTAGCGTAAAAGCTCTCAAAAATCTGCCCCTAAAGATGCCACAGAGTACAATACGTAACCAACTCTTCAAATCGGCTAGGCTGTCCTTTCTCCATTAGCTATGGACAAATTGGACAATGGTCTGTCTTTTCTCCCTCAGCTGCGGCTCTCGGTAGGGCCACAGCGGGTCGGCGCGGAAGCCGCGGGCGCCACAGATTGCCACTAAATTATTTAGCCGTTTAGCGATATTCGCCCGTGATATCTGCTCGCCGCCACCATCGGACAGCCTGCAAATTGGATTCAGATTTCTGGCGGCATGGAAATTGATTTGTACGTGATATTTAATAGTTGAACTGCGCGGTATTTAGCCGTCACGAGTGTGTTGGACAAATACTACGTGTGATTGCTGATGTCAATTGTTAAAATGGATAAATATATACGACGTAAGTAGATACCTACACTTGTAAAGTATCTAACTCGTACTTTCTCCCAACGAACGTCTCTTTCTCTCTATGTACACCACATTATAATTAAAGACCTCTCTTCACTGAGGTGTAAACAGGTGTAGGTTTGTCAGCTGTGACAAACGAATTTAAATAACAATATTGGGACATAGCAGACTTCGATAAAATTCCATCTGACTGAACCATATTTTCGTACTGACTCATGGAGTCACTAGAGTTGTAACCCTTGTTGTTGCAAAGCACACGATTCTTGAAATTTGAATCTGACAGACAAACATTTCACCTTCACTTGATAACCGAAACCATTTCCTACCTATCCAGGCCACCTCAACTTATCAGAACTGAAATCTCCAAACCACTAGAAATAGACCCACCCTTATCAGATATTCAAACAATTGCTGTAACAAGAGAAGCAGTGTCTAAAGCGTTTACTCAACAGTTGAATCTGGATCGGAGGGGTCGTCGAATGAATATATAATTGAGCGTCGCGGGTCAGGACCTTTCGCCTGGTGTATAAACCATCCGGCGCGCGCCAATCTTCGCGCCTCTTTATTATTTAAGCGGACGCAGGTTGGAAGATTGTCCTCGCGTGGGAACCGGCCTATTCTGAAAGAACGCCTTGGCTGATGCTCACCTTTATTGCAACTTATAATAACAGCATGTAGCTCACAAAAATCAACCGTTTATGGAAGGAGATTGCTACGAACTTGGTAGAGAAAACGGAGAAGCTCTTGGCCTGCATCTCACCTGATGATAAGTGCTGATTAGAGCGACATCAAATCACGAAATGCACTAAAAATGGAAGTTAGAGTTTTTAGACAAATGAAAAATCATATCATATCAAATGATGATTGTCATTGAATTAACACAGTTTTCTACACGATAGAGCTATAAATTAGTGTATCTTACTTTCTTGGTCATTATTGATATTACGAAGCTAATTGGTTTTATGAACATCAACTAATCTAAACGAATCCTTTTGGATATGTGCTGCAATATAAAATGTTCAATCCTTTAAATTAATCCATACAACCCGAATTTCAGGAACAAGATCCTGACAACGAAATAAACAAAAATAATTCTTACAGCGAAAATTCACTTTTGTGTCACACACCTGCTGAGTCCGACATTTCCGATTCTACAGAATAAGGCCGCACGTGTGATTCGGTGACAATTGCCCTGCACTCTACAATTGGATTGAATAAAATAGTAATCAATCCGTTCCAAAATTATGGAAACGGGGACTGGTCCGGACGTTTTATATTGTACGGACCTGATTAAACGAAGATAAAGAAATAAATAAAGAAAGGCAGATTTTTTAAGTTCAATAAAAGAAGATTGAATAAAAAAGTGACTAAAAATATTCGTAAACTATAGTTTCACATTTTAATATGTATAGTGGACTTTTTATCGATTTTACTTTTTAGATATCGTAATAATTGTTGCAACATAGGAAATTATACCAAATACTAGTTAAGCCTTCGTGTGCTTTTATTTAAAACTTCATTGCACACAATATTGAAGTAATGTATTACGGTGAAAGCGAACCTCATACCATATGGCATTCTCTTCCAGGTAACCCTTTGTCTTTGTACCAGTTATTTAACATTATCTTTTTAACCAAATTAGCTATCGATAAGTCTAAATTCATCCAAGTTAAACAATCAAAATGATTCATGACCTAATCAAAAATTTATCGCGCGTGAAGTTAAAGCAAAAAGGGTATAAACCTTAATCTGAACTGCTAAGAGCATTTTAAATTCTAATACCTTTCTTCCTTACGTGTGCCTTTATTATGTAGCGGAAAATTTAATCGCACTCTTTGTTTGTCGTCCGTGAGATGAATAAACAATACAAATTCTTGCTACACGTATCGTCTGTCCTTTTCTCATTTGGTGAATTTTGTATGTTGTGTCTTGCTCTTTCGGATAGAGTCCCCTGTTGGATTGTATTCAATATACGCGGGCCCGGTTTCGTTTCCAGAGGCGCAACCACGTTTGACGTATGAGATTACTGGTGAAAATAATGTCGAGATTAAATCGCATACTGGATTTTATTACTTCACACATCAAAACAGTTCAGACACAGTATACTTGTACAACACTGAACCGTCCCAGCTATGACATTGATAGATTCCGATTTTTGCCTCGTTGGACAACCATACAGGGTGTCCCAAAATTTGCACGTCACACTGACACTGGAGGTAGCTGAGTCTAAGACGCATCGAACAAGCAAGGGACACCCTGTATAATTATGATATTTACAGGAGGGTGCTGCTACCTGTGGTGCTACTATCAATACTGGGTTATTAGTTCTTACTTTTGCCACATGATTCTTCAGAATCGTTAGAATATAAAATACTCTATCTATGGTATTGAATGCATCGACTACATTAAAGGAAAATGAATGAGTTGATGCGTTAAAAATACCAAAATGACTTCATTATTCATAAGAAACTGTTATAAATGATGTCACAAAATTAGATTAATATTTTAATTCGCTGCCCATAACACACTGTTACTGTTCACATAACAATGGCACCACAAATACCTACATCGTGGGCCAAAGCTGAATGAATTGATTTATGAATGATTCATTGAGAACTATACTGTGTTGATATGACTCACAGTACAATGGTTTAGATAGGATGGACGCCTAAATGTTATACAATGATGACTACCTAAATTAAATGTCATCAATGATTAACATTAGATAACTATCAGAATTATATCTACTGAATAAATAAGTCTACACCTATATCGATTTATCTGGCCTTTTTAAGGTTTAGTACGTTACTGTGTATTTCTCGTGAATTGCGTATTTCCGGAATGAGTCTTGCTAAAGTAGCGTGGAAATGAATCAGAATTTGATCAGCATTTCAGAGATTACCTCTCACTTATATCCTACAAACATTAATGTCAACTGATAATATACCTACGTAACTTTTCTAGTAAGTAATGTTAGTAATGTGAAATCTTCAAAAGTAATCGTCGTCTTTATTTAAATACAACTAGCACTCCCTTAGTTTTAAGAGCATAATCGATAACATAAAATAATGGTTTTTCTTTGCCTAACTAGGCACCTCCACAGATGTTATGACTTAAATCTAGTGTCATCATCATTTAGTATCCACAGCAGGAGGACGACTCTCGAAGGCAAATCGAGAAATTAGCCTACCCTACACTGGTCGGAAGACATCCACGGGAAGACTGACAAAGTATGAAACGAAGTCTAATAAAAAAAACAAAGAAATGTGACTAAGACTCACCGATGGTTGCACTGCTGGCACGCGAAACACTCCAGATGGTAGACGTTGCTGCGCGCACGCATCACCATTTCGAACGCGGGGATCACCTTGTTGCAGGCCGCGCAGTAGCCGGTGTTGCCGAACAACCTAAAAACAACGGCATTGAAGAAAATTTCCATTTTAAGTGACAAAAAGTGTAATCCTAAAAAGGTTAAGTTTACTAGAGCAGGTTTCGTAAGGTTTAAATATCTCTACAGTCCCAAACAAAAGAAGTAAATAAGTAATTTCAGCTTTATGACTTTACTGTATGTCGGTGTACTAAATCAGTGCAGTTATAGAGCGACACGTCCAGTATTCAAATTCTGGGTAGCAAATATTATAATGTACTAGCGAAAATCTAAGCTACTTTTTATGCAAAACATTGTGGTTACAAATTGAATGAATCTTCAAACGAACCTAGTATCTTAGAGCATTTGAAAACTGAAAGCTTGCGTTATAAATTAATAAATAGTGATTTTACACATGACACGTCTCGGTCTAACTTTTAACATTAACTGTAGGTATCTACTTCGGGATAATAGTGTAGAACAGTGTTGACAAGAACCAACTAGATAATAAAAAAAGTAAAAGCACACTAACCGTAGGTAGTCCCGCTTGCACAGGATCAGATTGGCGCGGGTGTACAGGGTGTGCCCGACCTCCCCAAGCCGGCAGTCGCAGCAGCCGCATTTGAGGCAGTCCTCGTGCCAGAGCTGGTCCAACGCCTTCAGGAGGTACCGCTCGGTGATCACCTTGCTGCAGCCGGCGCAGATCTGCAAGACAATGGAAGAGTTAAAGAGTACTCACAATGTAACAGTCGACAAAGTAAGTATACCAATACTTTTATAGAAAAATACCATCTATTACAACAACTGTATGATATTCCACTATTATTTCTGATGTGCCGTGTCCACTGCCAGTTCATTTAGTCTCATCATCATCATCATCATCATCGACGTTGTTTTAACTTAAGACGACTGACTTGAAATTGGAAATTGAAAAGTGGAAATTCTTGTTCTTTTCCTTTATCCACAGCGGACGTCTTTTGGTTAAAAATGAACGAACTGCTTGTCTGACAACATCAGTAGGTATAGAGATATTGGTTGTTAAATCATTCTTAGCACCAGGAGTAAGACTAGGAAGTATTTTCTTCTTAGTCGTTACACTTTTGATAGTGTGGGCGTGCTCGTAGTTGTCATGAGTTGTGGTCGTTTCTTAAGTGGTTCAATTTTACTGCTAAATTATTTATTTATTAGTAACTCACCTGAGGTTGCGGTGGCTGCTGTCCAGAAGCCGAAGCTGGCTGCTGCGCGGACGCCGGTAGCGGCGACGCGCGCGCCTCCTTCGTCACGTCCATGGCCAGCATATGCGAGCCTAGCCCGGGGCTACCGCCGCTTCCTTGCTGCGGCGTTCGCCTCTCGCACTGTAACAAAGGAAAGATATTTGAATTGATATGTTTCGAGGACTTCATCTCATCATCAGATTATTTATAATTATAATATCCAAGATTTACAGGAGCAAGATCCTTTCTTATTTAAGTGGGTACTAGAGGAAAATAAAGAACTCCTCAATATTATGCCTTAGTCACCTTTTATATTTAGGTAGTTGCCTAAGATGCGCGCCGCGATAAGCGGTTATCACGCCATTTTCTCGATTTTGCCCATACATTTTGACGTCGATAAAAGTTATCACGGCGCGCATCTTAGGCCTACAGGAAGAGTGTGGAGGATCCTGTTTTACTCTGAGGCCACACGGCTGAGAGAGCGCGCTTACATCCTAAAAATAAACATGTTGAAAGGAAAAAAGGATCTACAGTAGCCCTTAAAACCTACAGTGTACTCAGTCAAGCTTAACCTTTTCACTACTTAGTATAACTTAGCCATGGACTACTTTAATCCAATTAGCAAGATCATTGGCCAATACGCAACGAAAAACATTCGCAAATGTGGCAAGACCAATCAGCAAAATATCCATAACTTACAGCAACCGACCGGGAACACTGCGACAATTCATAGGCTGTATTATGTTACGGCATAAAATCCAGTACCATGAAATTTATCGGCTGTAATATTACTCGAAAAAATTAGCACAACTACTCAACCGATTAATGAGAACGTGAAACACGAGTCGCTTTCCGAACTATAGCAAATTATGTGCCTTAAATATCGAATGCAAAGAAAAAAGTTTGTAATTGAGATCGTGTCGCTGAAAAAACGACAGTAAGCAATAAAGTCAAGCACGGAGCGCTGTCGTCACGGTTAATTAATATTTTAAATGCGAACATTTTCAATTAATTTCAGCAATCGAGGCGCCCTCTGCACGCCTATCATTTTATCAAACAAGTCACTTTAGTTTAACAACTTTTTTATGTTACCGTGTTTGATTGAAGTAACCTTATAATCAACCAACATAATTAAGTAAGGTCGGTATACGCAAAAGGAATGGTTTATGAAGGGAAGTCATAAATCTTAACATAACCAAATAAAGCTTAGGTGTTTTAATATGAAACGTGATAACTACAATTTCTCAATAGAAGTATGAATATAATCTTCTATATTAACTAATAACTAAAAGTTTCCCATTTGTGATACTTTTNGGCGACGCGTGCGCCTCCTTCGTCACGTCCATGGCCAGCATGTGCGAGAGAGACCTAGGTCTCTTTGCCTATTCAATAGCCAACTACTTGGCTATAGAGTTGCGAGACAGAAACCTGATTAGTTGCCTATTAGTGTCTCACCTGAGGCTGCGGGGGCTGTTGTCCAGAAGCCGAAGCTGGCTGCTGCGCGGACGCCGGTAGCGGCGACGCGCGCGCCTCCTTCGTCACGTCCATGGCCAGCATGTGTGAGAGAGACCTCGGTCTCTTTGTCTATTCAATAGCCAACTACTTGGCTATAGAGTTGTGAGACAGAAACCCGTTTAGTTTCCTATTAGTGTCTCACCTGAGGCTGCGGGGGCTGCTGCCCTGAAGCCGAGGCGGGCTGCTGCGCGGACGCCGGTAGCGGCGACGCGCGCGCCTCCTTCGTCACATCCATGGCCAGCATGTGCGAGAGAGACCTAGGTCTCTTTGCCTATTCAGTAGCCTACTACTTGGATATAGTATCGTGAGACAGAAACCTGTTTAGTTGCTTAATGTCTCACCTGAGGCTGCGGGGGCTGCTGCCCTGAAGCCGAGGCGGGCTGCTGCGCGGACGCCGGTAGCGGCGACGCGCGCGCCTCCTTCGTCACATCCATGGCCAGCATGTGCGAGAGAGACCTAGGTCTCTTTGCCTATTCAGTAGCCTACTACTTGGATATAGTATCGTGAGACAGAAACCTGTTTAGTTGCTTAATGTCTCACCTGAGGCTGCGGGGGCTGCTGTCCCGAAGCCGAAGCTGGATGCTGCGCAGACGCCGGTAGAGGCGACGCGTGCGCCTCCTTCGTCACGTCCATGGCCAGCATGTGCGAGAGAGACCTAGGTCTCTTTGCCTATTCAATAGCCAACTACTTGGCTATAGAGTTGCGAGACAGAAACCTGATTAGTTGCCTATTAGTGTCTCACCTGAGGCTGCGGGGGCTGTTGTCCAGAAGCCGAAGCTGGCTGCTGCGCGGACGCCGGTAGCGGCGACGCGCGCGCCTCCTTCGTCACGTCCATGGCCAGCATGTGTGAGAGAGACCTCGGTCTCTTTGTCTATTCAATAGCCAACTACTTGGCTATAGAGTTGTGAGACAGAAACCCGTTTAGTTTCCTATTAGTGTCTCACCTGAGGCTGCGGGGGCTGCTGCCCTGAAGCCGAGGCGGGCTGCTGCGCGGACGCCGGTAGCGGCGACGCGCGCGCCTCCTTCGTCACATCCATGGCCAGCATGTGCGAGAGAGACCTAGGTCTCTTTGCCTATTCAGTAGCCTACTACTTGGATATAGTATCGTGAGACAGAAACCTGTTTAGTTGCTTAATGTCTCACCTGAGGCTGCGGGGGCTGCTGTCCCGAAGCCGAAGCTGGCTGCTGCGCAGACGCCGGTAGAGGCGACGCGCGTGCCTCCTTCGTCACGTCCATGGTCAGCATGTGCGAGAGAGACCTAGGTCTTTTTGCCTATTCAGTAGCCTACTACTTGGCTATATTATAGTGTTGTGAGACAGAAACCCGTTTAGTTTCATATTAGCGTCTCACCTGAAGCTGCGGGGGCTGCTGTCCAGAAGCTGAAGCTGGCTGCTGCGCGGACGCCGGTAGCGGCGACGCGCGCGCCTCCTTCGTCACGTCCTTGGTCAGCATGTGCGAGAGAGACCTAGGTCTCTTTGCCTATTCAATAGCTAACTACTTGGCTGTAGTGTTGTGAGTTGTGAGACAGAAACCCATTTAGTTGCTTAGTGTCTTACCTGAGGCTGCGGTGGCTGCTGCCCTGAAGCCGAAGCTGGCTGCTGCGCGGACGACGGCAGCGGCGACACGCGCGTCTCCTTCGTCACATCCATGGCCAGCATGTGCTAGAGAGACCTAGGACTCTTTGTCTATTCAATAGCCTACTACTTGGCTATATTGTTATGAGACAGAAACCTGTTTAGTTTCTTAGTGTCTCACCTGAGGCTGCGGGGGCTGCTGTCCCGAAGCCGAAGCTGGCTGCTGCGCAGACGCCGGTAGCGGCAAAGCGCGCGCCTCCTTCGTCACGTCCATATTCAGCATGTGCGAGAGAGACCCAGGTCTCTTTGCATATTCAGTAGCCTACTACTAGGCTATAGTGTTGTGAGACAGAAACCCATTTAGTTTTTTTCTAATAGTGTCTCACCTAAGGCTGCGAGGGCTGCTGTCCCGAAGCCGAGGCGGGATCCTTCGTCACGTCCATGGTCAACATGTGCGGGAGAGACCCAGGTCTCTTTGCCTATTCAGTAGCCTACTACTTGACTAAAGTGTCGTGAGACAGAAACCTGTTTAGTTGTCTATTAGTGTCTTACCTGAGGCTGCGGGGGTTGCTGTCCAGAAGCCGAAGCTGGCTGCTGCGCGGACGCCGGTAGCGGCGAAGCGCGCGCCTCCTTCGTCACGTCCATGGTCAGCATGTGCGAGAGAGACCTAGGTCTCTTTGCCTTTTCAGTAGCCTACTACTTGACTAAGTGTCGTGAGATAGAAAAAAACCCGTTAAGATTCCTATTAGCGTCTCACCTGAGGCTGCGGGGACTGCTGCGGCGACGCACGCGCCACCTTCGTCACGTCCATGGCCAGCATGTGCGAGAGAGCTAGGTCTCTTTGCCTATTTAATAGCCAACTACTTGGCTATAGTGTTGTGAGACAGAAACCCGTTTAGTCGCTTAATAGTGTCTTACATGAGGCTGCGGGGGCGCGCCTCCTTCGTCACGTCCATGGCTAGCATGTTCGAGAGAGACCTAGGTCTCTTTGCCTATTCAATAGCTACTTGGCTATAGTATTGTGAGTTGTGAGACAGAAACCTGTTTAGTCGTTTACCTGAGGCTGCGGGGGCTGCTGTCCCGAAGCCGAAGCTGGCTGCTGCGCGGACGCCGGTAGCGGCGACGCGCGCGCCTCCTTCGTCACGTCCATGGCCAGCATATGCGAGCCTAGCCCGGGGCTACCGCCGCTTCCTTGCTGCGGCGTTCGCCTCTCGCACTGTAACAAAGGAAAGATATTTGAATTGATATGTTCCGAGGAATTAATCTCATCATCAATATCCAAGATTTACAGGAGCAAGATCCTTTCTTATTTAAGTGGGTACTAGAGGAAAATAAAGAAGTTGGCCCATACTCCTCACGTTGGCTAGACGTGTTTGTGAGGCCTAATTTTCGAATATGCCTTAGTCACCTTTATATTTAGTCGTGCAGGAAGAGTGTGGAGGATCCTATTTTACTCTGAGGCCACACGGCTGAGAGAGCGCGCTTACATCCTAAAAATGAACATGTTGAAAGGAAAAAAAGGATCTACAGTAGCCAGTAAAACCCACAGTGTACTCAGTCAAGCATAACCTTTTCAATACTAAGTATAACTTAGCCATGGACTACTTTAATCCAATTAGCAAGATCATTGGCCAATACGCAACGAAAAACATTCTTTAATGTGGCAAGACCAATCAGCAAAATATCCATAAGTTACAGCAACCGACCGGGAACACTGCGACAATTCATAGGCCGTATTATGTTACGGCATAAAATCCAGTACCATGAAATTTATCGGCTGTAATATTACTCGAAAAAATTAGCACAACTACTCAACCGATTAATGAGAACGTGAAACACGAGTCGCTTTCCGAACTATAGCAAATTATGTGCCTTAAATATCGAATGCAAAGAAAAAAGTTTGTAATTGAGATCGTGTCGCTGAAAAAACGACAGTAAGCAATAAAGTCAAGCACGGAGCGCTGTCGTCACGGTTAATTAATATTTTTAATGCGAACATTTTCAATTAATTTCAGCAATCGAGGCGCCCTCTGCATGCCTATCATTTTATCAAACAAGTCACTTTAGTTTAACAACTTTTTTATGTTACCACGTTTGGTTGAAGTAACCTTACGGTATACGCAATAAGAATGGTTTATGAAGGGAAGTCATAAATCTTAACATAACCAAATAAAGCTTAGGTTTTTTAATATGAAACGTGATAACTACAATTTCTCAATAAAAGTATGAAAATAATCTTCTATATTAACTAATAAGTAGCTAAAAGTTTCCCATTTGTGACNTTTGTGATACTTTTAAACCAATCCTAATCTGTAGAATAGAAAGTTTTATGACTAGTTAGAACAATGATCGCCATTGTTCGCCGCGTGACGAATGCTCGGTTTGATTTTTGTGTGTTTTGAGCGTGAGTCAGAATAATGGCGGCGGATATTGGACGGAACCATGCACTTCACGGAACCGTGCCACTGTTTGTTTACAGCGGATGTAATTAACTGCACTCGGGTTTAAACCCAAGGATAATCTTACGGTTAAACAGGCCTAAAGAGGTTACAAATAATGTTCAAGTTTACGCAAGTCTCTATTACAATGATAGAACTTATTTTAAAGCTAGTTACTTAACTCTAACGATGATCTACTCAATTTACGTCTTTCCTAGTTTCAATCACTATGAAAAGTTTTTAAAGGTTGCCAAATAAGTCTTAGCATTTTCAATATAAAATTATTACAGTTCTACAATTCATATCCTCATTAACACTGTTTATTTTATTTTAAATCAAGCTCTTGACTTGTTAAGAGCAAAAAAATTTAAGTATTTATTTATTTAATAGCACTCAAAGCAAAGCCTAATTGGCAATAATCAATTAATGTTGTAATTAGTTCCAGGGAGTAAATATAGCGAAGGGCGAAAGAGTTAAACCGGCGCTTATTTTTCGCTCTACAAAAACAAAGTGCATACACACCGGAGCACATATTTCACTGCGACGCGTGCACCCAACTGCTAATTAGCGGTAATAATACTTTAATGAGTGATAATAAATCATAGCCGAGCCAACCTTTGTGTAATTATATTTCATACGAAACACAATTGGAAATAGTAACTATTTGAATATCTGCCATTCCAGAGCCTGCAAACATTCGGGGCATTTAATTAGTGCACATACTCGTGTCTAATTGAACACAGAACGTAAGTGTGCCGTTTCGGTATAATTATAATTGACCAATTTATTCTCGCTCCGGCTTTGGCTAGTGAAACCACTAATTTGACGCATTCCCTATGCTATTTTTATTCAAACACGTTTATTCAATTTGTAATAAGTATTGCCTATTCAACTACATTGTTTAAGTTTTAGGTTGTGTAAGGCTGAGTTGCACGTCAAAAATCTGTCAAACTCCATACAAAAAGCATCTGTTATTGTTATGGTTAAAGTAGGTGGTGCAAATCAGTCTGTTTGTTAGGTTTAAAAAAATTATTTTTAAAACATAACGAAAATGATGTTAACGCTGTAAATGTTCAAACGCATGCTGAAAATAGTATATTTTTAATAGCGTTTAATTTAAAATTAGTATAGTTCCGAAATATAGAGAAAAAGTCATTTTTACCTTTCAAGAAAAATACGCTAACCATGAATGAGTACTGCTAACGCAGACTTTATATTCCAACGTGTCAAAGTAATCCTCTTACAGAACAACAGACGAAATGACTGTCGCATAGTTTTATTTGGTCCGTCTGTCGAGGCCTAATTCGTGCGTATTGACATTTGGAAAGTCAACGTTAATGGAGGCGTGATCTTTTTTGCTCGGCGTCTAATCTCGGCTGCATTGGCCACGGCTGTTTGCCGAGTGGCGTGGCGTGTCGCTGTCACCGATCGGTAATTATTCACGAAGGTTCGTTGCGAGTGAGGTGTGAGTGAGAGCGGATTTAGGTTTTGTTCAGAAACTTTTCACAGAGGTATTTCCCGAGAGAAAAAGCTTTGTAAGCTCTCTTATTGACAAAAAATACTAAAATCTTAAAACCTTGTTTCATGATAAATTAATCGATACAAATTAACCCCGAGTCAGATTTATTGATTTACGAGCTTTTTCAGTGAATCACAAAATCTCATTGTAAAAAATTAAGATATATCTTTTTTATTAAACTATGAGAGTGACCAGCAACTTTAAAGTACTCTTTTTTGATAATTCAAACTATTAATTGAATTATTTGCAGTAAAACATTTAGAGCTTCCAAGTCTTGTATTTAATCGAGAAACGGGAATCGTTCCGCTATCCACAAACCACCGGAAACGTTTACTACAAATGAACAGTCCAATTCTTTGTTCTCTAATCCTGACCGGTCGACTGACCATTATTCGCTCCGCTCGTGACCGAGCCGCGGCCGCAAGGGCGGCCATTTAGAAAAAAAGTCGCGCCAAAAGTGCGAACGTGCGGTGCCGTACTATTGACTCCGGACTCTTTTACTTTTTGCCGCTCATTTAACTGTATTTGGCTGCGATTTTAACTCTTACTTGAGGTCATTTCGTAAAAATATGATTGAGTTAGATACAAATTCTGGCACCGAGATACTCTTCTAGTAGATTACGATGTAAGTAATACTTTCTATTCTAATAATTATTTTGTAAGAAAAAAAGTTAGAAACTGAAAAAAGTATTTCAGTATTGAAAATCCTCTAAAATTTTTGGATATATTAATATCAAGGGACACACGATTTTATGTAGTTGGAATAGAACTTACGTGAGCTTTTTAACAAAGCTTAATAATTTCAAATCAAGATTATGTTCGAATCAGTTCCTTGTAAATGGAACTGTATTACAGCTGATAACGACTCTTAAATTATTTCCTAAAAGCTAAAGTCGGCAAATCGAATTAATATCAATCAAGATGCACTTGCAGACGACGTAAGGAACTCATGCGGGAATCGCCATCGAAGCATTAACGATTAATCCATCCAGACCGAGGACAATTCAGTGCTGCCAGCGCCCAAATTAGAAACTATTTTCGCCCATTAAGACCAACTTCATAATCAATTACACGTTAAAATTTCACAACGCTGTTTCGGGTGCTCTGTGTTTGGGTAATCGGAGTTTGTGGTCCCGCGGCGAGCTATTACGTGGCTGTACGCCCATAAAGGTTTTTGTCGGACAGTCGGAAAATTTTAATGCACGTTCCGAATGCATTTCGGTTGAGGTAAGTTTATTAAGGTAAATTAGTTGTACGAATAATTCCCGGCGGTACACTAGTTTGGGAATGGAGATGGCCAAATACGGTTTAGTGCAGTCTGGAACAGACATCCTTTTTTACACTAATTACAGCGCGAGCCAATTTTTTGCTATTCACGACCGCTTTATAATTAAACGCAACGCAAAAACAAAAAAATAAACAATATCGAGAGCTCAAGGTTCCCGTGTTAGCTAATTCGATTAACTTTTTACTAAATTCAATTAACCTTATTTCACTTCAACTTTGCCACGTTTCAAACATAGAACTTTATAATTAACTCGTAATGCGGTGTGAAGGGATTAATACGTGTTTTTTTAAGCTGGCACTAAAACCGCGCAGTGCATTAAAAGATTCCAATAATAACCAGCGCAGAATATAAGCAAAGCAATCCCATTTGACTAATAAAGCTGACTAATTATCCGGGCAACTCCATCATAACGAAGCAAATCTTCGTAACGCTTAGAGCAGACAACACTAATAGGATTGAGTGCACTCCGCTAATCATAATTCATCAGCGAGATTAAAGAATGCGCGGGACGGGACGCGCGGGACGGGACGCGCGGGACGGGACGGCGCGGGACAATGATCGCCACACCTGCGGAAACGCGGAAAGTAACGAGAAGAGAGGCTAAATAATTCACACCACTGTAATCGCGCTGAATACTGCTCTACATGAGATTTTTCAACTTTCATTAAATAAAAATTCACGAAAACATTTAACTTAATTCAAAAACATACAATTAGTGTGAAATATTAAAAACTAAAATCATAATTACTTACAAATACACAAACAAAATCGGAACGGGAAGCTTCAAAGCAAAAGCTTGACTCAACATCTGCGGAAATTCACGCGACTGATAGGTTTATTATTTTGTACACCACTGTAATAATAATAATAATAACAACATGCCCAGTACGATAACGTAAATGCCGACCTAACACAATTTATGGACACCCTTAAACAGAAGTTAAGTACCACGGCTAGTAGACTGAAAAGAT